AAGTAAATGGAGATCTACATGTAAAACAAAACAGTATAAAAATACACCAATTAACTTCGAACTGCAGATAACAGTCAGCTGAAGTGGCCTGCAGTACAGCACCCTAACCACTGCGCCACCTTGGCTGTTAACTTTTTCACTTTTTTCAGGGCCGTTGACCCCGGGACACTGCAACAGTCACTAAATGAACTGTTGTAAATTGAGGACTACCTGAATAATGTCACCACGGATCCCCCCGGCCCACCTACCTGTCCAAAGAGCACCGTCATGCTGGTCATGGAGCTATAGAGAAAGAGAAGCAGATGGCTCTCAAGCACCAGCCAGACAATCCGCTGTCAGGGGACGGGACGGGACGGGGACGGTCTTACCGTTGTACCGTCTGGGAGGACACCAAAAATGACATGAGGTCGCCGGGCGTCATCTCTTGTCCGGCCATGAGGGAGCCGCCTACAAAGATGGTGCCGAGCACAATACCTAGGAAGGAAAAACGACACAGCTGTAGGGCAAACTTCCCCAAACTTTCTGGTTTTGTGGAGGGGATGATTCCGTGTGCGCGGCGGGCAAGTGTGCAGAACTCTATTTGTGTGGAGCTTCACGTAAGAGAGCAAGTGCCGTCTGCTTATACGAGTGGAATCTCACACGCACGACCCTTTGCTTGTGACCTCCGCCACCCGGTTTTGAACAGGCTGTGGCCCAGCACTGGCCTGCGTCCCGGTGGTTGGGGACATCAACCATTTAGAGCAGGGGTCCACCACCTGTGGCCCGTGGCCCACTAACAGGCCCCGGGCTAATCACCACTGTGCCACATGAATGCCTCGCCAGTGCATCGTCTCTGCGCGCGCACAACACACACTAGTGTCCTCTCGGGCACTCACAGCCACTCACACTAGCCTCATCATGGGGGCTCGTAGCCCCACTCATGTGAGCCTCACCACTAATGTTGTGGGTGTTTGTGCGCACACGAGCACATGTGCTTGCCCCTACCGCTAAATTAACCCCCTTCCCCCTGCTCCAGGCCGCCAACCCGGAAAGGTGGGGGAACTCTGATTTAGAGGTAGTGTCAGGCCTGCAGCCATCTTTTCTTTTGGCTCTTTGGCCTGCCCCACTTTCTATTACCCTACTATGCCTTTTCTATGGTGGGGAAATGGGAGGGAGGGATTGAACGGAGTTAGATGATATGTAGCCATAACAACATTCTTTCTAGAAAGCCAAAGTCATCCTTTGTCTCT